TATATATATATATATATATATATATATATATATATATATATATATATATTTATATATTTTTGTTAAATTATATATAATTTTATATAATTATATATAATTATGTATGAAAAATTTTTTATCGGGTAGTAATGGCTATAAACAGCATCTAGCTAGTAATTTTTCTGTATTGTATCGAAGATATGATATAACTCGATAATAGGTTATAAGATATTTTTTAATTTATTCTGAAAATCCTGATATTAAAAATATCGATATAATATCGCCGCTATTTGAGAGACGATTTTAAATTTAACATCAGTACATAACACAATATATTACATTATTGATTTGTTTTATATTAAATTTTAATTAAATTAAGAGCTATATTAATAATCGTTATTGAATTGCGTGAGTGAGCACAACACCCTGACCGATCCTGACTGTGAGAATGGCTACTGCGCGAGACTGGTGCAAGATTTTCTACCGGAAACGATAATTATCCATAAGGATTACGATAAGCCGTTATATAAAAATTACATAGTTATTATACGGTTAAATAAACCAGCAATTTATAACGGTAAGTACTACTTTATGCGCGAGAAATTTTCATCCATTGATCTTAATTAGCAGTAAGAAGATGTATAACTCTTATAGAAATATCATATTAAGAATCATTGATAATTACATATTATCCAGTATTTTTAATACTGAAAATAAGTAATTATCAATGATTCTTAGTATGATATTTCTAAGGGAACAACCTCTCCGATCAAGTCTCCGGTCATCTTTGATACTATTGATTTGACTAAATATTACTAAAACGGTTACCATGGATTTATTAATACCACTTTCAGTAAAGTATAATAAAAGTATGTTATGTATAATTTATGTATTCATCAAATGTACCAATAATATCAGTCAGTGATGGAAAAGATGTTGACGAGTGTTACGCTTGTATTCATACGCAGGAAAGCAGTATACTCGCTTAACCACGTAAGTAACAGTATAACGTGAAAAAAGTTTGAAGATGTCTCTTGAAATAATCACGAACTTTGAAACAGGAACTTGCCTCGAAACATTAACAATGCTGTTAGTGCAATAGTGCTGCTGTAGGTAAAATATTTCTACAAAAAGAAGAACAGTAAAATTTTTGTACATACTAATACTTGTAACAAAAATATCAAATCAACTGCGGAAATTACAAAATATACGTTTCAGAATGTTTCATACTATATTAGCTCTTCATATAATAGTTAATATCCCAGGTAACACAGCGAATTCGAAAAGAATTCAGTCATATATCACCAATTCTGAGTTTATTTTAAGTGCAAAAAGAATTCTTTTCACTGAACTGAACTCTAAAGAATTCTTTTTGCATTTAAAAGTAAACTCAGAATTGGTGACATACGACTGAATTCTTTTTGAATTCTCTCTCTTTTTCAATTCTTTATGCCATCTAAGTACTTACACAGTACTAAATTATATTAAGAAAAAAATACTTAAATATCCCTTAAATAAATTTTCAAGTATTTTTTCTTCAGTGCAAGTAGAATATTAGCAGTCTTTTCTGGCAATAGACTAGTTACAGAAGCCCATAAGTTTCGACTACTCTTAATTGATTCCCATGCTTTTGCGCAATCAAAACGACCCTTCAAGTACCCTACGTCAGTTAAAGGATTTCAAGAGACCTCTGATCTTACACTTTAGGGTTTCTTAACGTAAAGGATATATAATTTAAGCATTTCAAGATATTCATTCAAAAGTTATCTGCACTTTACAAAACTTTTACTTTAAAAAAATTGCATTATAGTACATAACTGTATATTAATCTTCTTTAATTAATATCTAAGCATGTATGTGGTCATTTGGAAAATGGTAGAGGATTTTTTTGTTCAATTTAATCTAATATTAAGGTAACCAGATTTCCCAGCCCTAAATTCGGGACACTTCATAAATGTGAGAAGCGGGGGAAGGGGGTTTAAAAGATCCGAAAATTATTTGTCAATCATTGAAAATAATGGCAAATCGATGTCCTGAATAGCACTCGAAAAAATTCGGTACAAAGGGTGAAAAATCGGGACGTCTGGTCACCTTATCTAATATACAAGCATACGTCGCCAACTATTGTGGTTGTTGTTAAAGTTATTGTTAAAATTAATTATTGCATATGTCGCTTAGAAATATAATAAATATGAAAATAAATAAATAAATATAATATGAAATATGCCGCTAAGAGAATACAAAACATTATTTTATTCGAAAAATAAATTCACTTACAACACATGGTCAATTAAACGTTTATATGATATCATTATTGCTAAGTTTTTTTGATGTATTAAAACATGACGTTAAATATACGTCACTTAGTCGACGTATGACATCACTGACCAATTATGACTAGATATCAAAATAACGACTGTTTGCTATTTAGGACGTTATGTGTCATTGTCTCAATTTCTGGTTATTAATCTACCGAGTCCTAAACTAAACTACATTGAGATAGATGTTAGAATGAAATTTCGAGTAATGACTCATCCTGTCCGTTGAGGTCACGTGCCAGAAACGCGCGCATGTTCGATGTCGGAGTCTGGAACGACATAATAATTAAGTCAGTTGAATCGAATACGTTCTCGCTAACGCGTTCTCGCGCTTACCGCAGAAGCGATTGCACTTGTTAGAACGAAAAGAAGTCACCCTGGGTCACAGACGGCATTAAATTTATTCTCACTTCTGTAATTTGCGATTTGGTTGTGACTGGAGGTCTGACACACTGTGTCTGTCGTAAGAAGAAAACAAGTCGAAGTTCAATATATTTTTCGACATATCCGCGACAGAAGATCTGGAATGAGTCGATCGAGCTCCTTAGTATGGTTAGTACTTCTACCGATCGTTGTCCACGTGTTGGGCAATCAGGCAAATTCCTCGCGCGAAGACGAGTATGATAACTTCACTACAAGGGTGAACGAAGATTTCACAACGAGGTACGATAAGGATTCTGCGCAACACGATTACTACAATAACTACACGAAGAATCTCTACGAAGAAGACAGGAAGCAGAATATGTCGGCCGAGCTCCGAGATAATCACAGGAAGACCGACTACAAAGGCAACCTTACCATCTCGTACAAGTTTCGTCCAAAGAACGACTCCAACAAAGACAATTTGAATAAGATGTGCAACAACACAATTTGTATTCCGATTTGTTATAAGCACAATTATCGCTTATTCAGGGGTATATGTATACTTGATGCGGTTGATCACTCTTTCCCAGAAATCTACAATGTTAATAAGAAGGTAAATGATATTTTTCAGTCAAACATGTCGTGCGAGATAACTGGAGATTTACCACTCTTTTTTAAAGTTTATCGTGATGACGAATATATGATACTAATCAATGGCTCAGTGTACCATCGAGATCAGAACATTATCCTTGATCCAACAACTTACTGCTTCGCCGTCATAACCAACAAATATGAACTGATCAATATAAAAAACGCAAAATTAGACGTTGTTCCTGTTGGTCTTATAGTGTCCTTGCCGTTTCTGCTATTGACGTTCATGGTGTACACGATACTGAAGGAGCTTTGGAACTTGCACGGCTACATACTTCGTGGATATATCGGTTCGTTGTTCGTCGTATTTATAATTTTCACGATCCAGCTAATCCCTCCAGGAAGAGTTACATCGAATGACGTCTGCATCGCATTAGGTACAACTTGCATCATATAACCGATCTATAAATCGGGATTTGTTTCTGTCAGCCTCGATTTGTACTAATAACTATTGTACATTACTACCCAGTGATTAAATAATTAAATTAAATTAAATTTTAATTAATTAAATTTAATTTAATTTAAACATGTCAAGTACGCGCGGCTATATAAAATTCATCAAACTACGTCTGGATGTATAAATCTCCCTTTCCTTTTCTTATTGAAGACATTCAGATAGTACAGAGAATATAAAAAAAGATTTAAAAAGAATTCAGTCACGCGTATATTACCAATTCTGAGTTTATTTTTAGATGCAAAGAGAATTCTTCAGAGTTCAGTTCAGTGAAAAGAATTCTTTTTACATCTAAAAATAAACTCAGAATTGGTAACGTACGACTGAATTCTTTTTGAATTCTCTGTGCTATTTGAGCATTGTATCTTTACGCACTTATTATAACGCGGCACTTTCCCGTAAGTTTCCGACATAGAAAGAGAACATGCAGTGTAGTTTTCACATAAGATGTATTATAATAGCTATAAGACTCTCTGACATCTCATTCGAAAATAGACGCAGTTTAATGGACTGTTTCAGCCTTTATCACTCAATTCTGGTTTTCGGCGAGCTTCTTCTGGTTGAATGTGATGTGTTTCGATATTTGGTGGAGATTTGGGTAAGAGTGACGAAGTATTTCGCATTATATTTTATTTCATTATTTTATCGAGCTTTAGTTATCACGATGTAATGCGCACGTATGGTCATCGTAGTATTTTTAAAACGTCTTGAAACCAGACACTGGAATGTGTGTTATTGGGTTGTTGCGTTATAAATCTGAATACCAGTCCCTAGCTAGATGTGTGATTCGAAACTACGTCATTAACGTCGAAATTTGTTAATTATTATACGACGCAAATTTTGAATCAATAACTTCCGACATTAACGATATCATTCCAATGAATTGTATTTGGCTGTATCATCCTTTAAGAATAGTTCGCGTCTTCTATGCGTTAGAACATCCTGAAAGTGATATTTACCAGAGTACTGTATCACTTTGACAAAAATAATATTGCATAATTATTTCTACAGAACACACCATCTAAAATCGGAATTTAAGACGTCTTGTGTCCCGATTTTGGACATTGTGTTGCGTTGGTTTCCTCTTACTGTCATTTATCAGAAAATATTATGTTCTTAATAAGAAATTATTACTCGCAGGAGCATTACTTAACTTTCGGTGTATATACATAAACGATATACAGAGTGTCCGGTAATTGATCGAGCAACTGTCGTATACGGATAGAACGAGTCAAAATAATCATAAAATATACCATTATATATCATTATATAAAATATATATATATATATATTATATAAATATATATATACATTATATATATATATATATATATATATATATATATATATATATATAATTATATATGAAATTTGTCCATATACATGTTAATTATATATAATCATATATAATTATATACATGTTATTTATATATAATCATATATAATTATATATATATATACCATTTTATATATAATTTTACATAGTTACGCATACAAATATATGTAGTTATACTTGTAATTACACATAATTGTATATAATTATATATAATTTTATATAATTTTATATTATTATGTATAATTAATAATTATAATTATGTATAATTAATAATAATTATATATAATTAATATATAATTTTTCATAATTATGTACAGACAAATTTTATATTTAATCCTTTAGCACTGACAGGAGTCTGATAGATTCCCAATGAAAAAAAATCTATTGCATCATGTACATATCGCGTCCGTCTATTTTTCCTTTGGCCCGTAAAATACGAAGTGGCGACAAAGAAAGACATTTCACACACTTTCTCAGATAATTATCAAACTTCGAAATATTTTTGTAGATATGTGTCAGTGCTTAAGGAATAATTATGTATGAAAAATTTTTTATCCGGAAAGACCGTAGCGCAGGCACTTCTATATTGATTGATCAAGCTAAATAAAACGGAAGAGTCCCGATTGCCCACAGTACGATTGATCACGAATTGTAATGATTGGTTCGATCTGGTAATTCACTAGATAATTCTTATCATCAGTTGGTTTGTGCAATCGTACTGTAGGCAATCGGAACGCTCCCAAGTGAAACCCCATTTCGCGTTATACCAAGAATATATGACGACAATCCATGGCGCTCAAGGAACATATTATCAGCGCTATTTATAGCACTGATAATATACGCGTCACTCTACTCTTGTTGTATATACACCAAAACAATAAAGATAGATCCTTACCACACAACATCTAAAATCGTTTTAAAGACGTCTGAAAGATATCTTAGGGATATCTTACATTCCGACGTTTGAGAGACGTCTTATATCCCGATTTTAGACGTTGTGTTGTGTGGGAAAATTGCGTAGTAGCGTTGATAGTGAGCTCCGTAAACAAATATGATCCTATGTACGATCTAATCATCATCCCCATCCATCATTCATTAAAATCGATATAATTTTAATTTCTAGCCCGTACTCTTGTTACCATATTGACTGTAATATGTAATTTCCTAGACAAGTACGCCCTTTCCAAGGAAGCATGACGCGAGAAGATAGAAGAAGATTCATCATATATTCGATATACGCATGGGGTTGCGCCTCCATCCTCATCATCATTTGTGCCATCATGGATTTCGTACCTAGTGTGCCGGAAAACTTCATCAAGCCGCAACTCGGCAAAATTGGATGTTGGTTGACGGGTACGTGCGACATAAATTAACATCGTTCATTTACATTTTATTCGTTTCATTCTGATAAATAAAATAAAGAAGCGAATTTCATAAACAAAATTTAATTTTTTCTTTAAAATAAGCCAAGAAATTCAATTATTTGAAAATAAAAAAAATTTTGACCTGAGAAATTATAATTATAATACTATTAGAGTTATTAAATTTTTGTTAAATCTGTAAGGATTTTTATTAAAATGCAGAATATAGCCCTAACAGCACAGATGTCCAGGGGACATCCAGAGTACATCCTTAGGAAATCCTGAGGACATTTGTTTGTCCTCAGGACAGGACGTCGTCAGGAGATCTTGTGCTGTTTGAGAGACATCACGTACCACTTATAAATTGTGTAAAATGCTAATGATTTATTTCCTACTTTACTAAGCAGAAGAGTCAGATGGAATATATTTTTATGGACCCATAAGTGTCACCATTGTTTGCAACATCTGCATGTTTATTTCCACGACGTTAAAATTCAAGCGGAACAACAGGAATATAGAATCCATCATGCAAAGCACGGAAAGTAGACGTCACGACGACAACAACAAGCAAACGTTCGTATTTAACAATACATAGTTACTAACCAGACAACATAATGTCTAAAATCAGGACATAAGATATCTTAAAGATAATCTTTAAAGACGCCTTAAAGACTTTATATGTAAATCGTCTGAAAGACATCTTAAAGATGATCTCTAAGATGTCTTATGTCCCGATTTTAGACATTATGTTGTCTGGGTACTTCAATGTTCTAGAAATTTAGATATACAAAAAATTATAATAAATATCAAAAATTATCTATGAAGAATATTTTGTCAGAAATAATTAAAACGTAATTTTATTTTAGTTACTCTACGTTTTGATTATTGAAAAAATATTTTTCATAAATATTTTTTTAATATTTATTATAATCTTGTTCATATTTGAATTTGCAGAACATTTGAATATTTGCAAAAGATTTTATTTCAATATATATAAAATATTTTATAAATAATTGTGTGTTGCCTGGGATGATATCAGTCGGTCTTTGATCCTAACATGATAATTACTCTTATATATTCCGGCGAGGTACAAGGAGTATTAAATCACTCAGATAGATATATTTCGGCATATTGTCTGTTTAGTGATTAACGCACAAAGTGTACCATAACTGACTAATACACTAGTACGCAAAATACTTCGTTATACAGCAAAAATTTTATTATAGTATATAAAGGAAGTCATTTGATGCCATACATGAAAATTGCGACAATATTCTGATGCAATAAAAACTGCTGCTTATTTTGCCGGAAAAAGAACGCAATTAATTCGGAAATTATTGCAATCCTAAGAAAATTATTGTAGTTCTAAGAAAAGAAAATATTTTGATTAAAATTAAGGCATAATAAAAATGTATCTCTTTAAGCGTAGTTAACAATCAACATAATTGGACGCATCATAATCATAGCAGAAATAATATAAAAAATATGTTGCAGTTTTATCCTTTACGTGAAGCTGTTCATCCTAATGGGTATAACCTGGTCCATGGAGATAATATCGTGGATATTTAAGAGCGCACCGGAGTACACCTGGGACTTCAGTGACTTGATAAACAGTCTGTACGGACTCATGATCTTCATAATATTCGTGTGTAAGGACAATATCAAGAAGTTACTGCTAAAGAAATTCCGCCAGAACTGCACATTCTCTCTATTCTCCAGAAATACATCACGTAGCGGTTGTAACACGATCTTGCCCACCTCTAAAGCGATACCTCTTAATAAAATCAGCCCTTGTGTACAAATGAATTGCCGCGCGGAAAATTTGTCTGACTAGAACGATCCACCATTAACGTAACACAAAGAGTAGATTTCTATCGTACATTTATGGTCGGCAAAATACTGCGTGTAAAAGCGCAAAAATTTATACGCAGAATGTAATCTGACAAATTCATTTATGTTAAAAAAATTCTATTATAAAATTCAACAAGTACTTGATAAGGACATACAGTCATACGTATATCAGTATGATACCTCCTTCAATGTTAAACTTACATTTAAAATATTTTTCACGAGCCATTTTGTTTTTGAGATATTTTTATATTTATTTTCGTATTTAGGACGCCCCATATATATGCAAACATATTCGAAACAACAAATCTACTGTGATTTTCAAGTAATATATACACTTGTTCCTTTTCATATTTTACAAAGGCAAATTATTTTTTCAGGCCAAAAACGCAACAAAAATATTCGGGAATTGAAAGAAAATTACTAAGTAAATATATTTGAATTTTATTTATGTAATTAAGTAATATATTTATATTAAAATAAATAATTTATTTATAATTTATTTCTTATTTCAAAATTTT